ATTCCTGCTCCAGCTCAGGCTTGGCTTCCCTCGCAGTCCCACAGCTGTGTTCCCTGGGGGAGCCCAAGTGGAGAGCGTTTGTCGGAGGGGAATTTTTATGCGATGAAATAGCCCTGGCGGAAGAGAGTCGTAAAGCTCCTTGCATACAAGACTGAACGGTTGCCTGCCCCGGTGGAAGCGCTGTAATTCAGAGATGGTCCCTGATGGCCAGACTGCTCATTAAACAAAACCCTTTAAATAACAGAGCATCCAAATGCGGAGGCTGTTCTCCTGCCGGGGCCAAGGCTGCTCTCAAAGGCAAGGCTGTCTCGGGGGCCCCAGCACTAACGCACGCTTCTCGTGACCCATCCCAGGAGATGGATGCCATGGGAGCAGCCCAGCACCTGCTTGGTGGCCAGAGGTTTCCCATGCAGAGCCAAGAGGGATGCTTCTCTAGCCCTGCTCCCTCCAGCCTTCCTCTTTCTGTGCTCTGATTCACAGCCCCCCAGGAGCCTGGTGTGGGCTTCTCCAGCCTGGCCTGCTCCTGACTTTTTTGCTCTTGCTTCCTGGCACCAATGCCATCTGCCCTGGGTGCACAGCCTGCTCCCACACCTTCGTTGCACCCAGCATGGGGCTAGTCCAGGCTGCTACACAGACTAGTGCCTGTTCTTGCTGGCTCCCAAAGAAGCTGCCGCCTTTCCCTCTTAATGCCTTGAATTCAGCCTGACCTTCCAAGCCCCCCCACCCCCCTCCCAGATCTGCCTTGGCAAACATCTGCCCCAGGGGTAGACCCTTAAGACAACCCTTGTTCCCATCTCTTCCCTTATTGCCTTGGTCAACCATAGACGCTTGCAGTGTAAAACCTGCCGTAGTCGGCCACCTGAGATGCTGGTTTCCATGTCCCAAAGGGCTGGAGAGGAGCTTGCCAACCTCTCCATTCCCACACTCGGTCCTGGAGGAACGAATCCACCCAGGGAATGGGCTGGCCACAGGCAGCAGCTGTCCATCGAGTCTCCTGCTGGCTGCCTCGTGCTCCAGGGAGGTCCTACCCTGGCTCCAAAGCAGGGAGCCTGCCGGGGCCATCCAGCTGCTTTCCCCAGCGGCCATGCTGCTGCCACCTCCCTGCCAGTCCACAAAGACTGTGCTTCTGACTTCAATTAGCAGCTTTGCCAAGGTCAGGCAGGAGGCTGATTTCCAGACTGTAAATTTCCTAGGAGCTGTAATTAAAGTTTTGACTGCAGCAGCAACCGCAGCAGCTCTGCAGATAGCGACGCCGAAAGCCTTTCAGAATAAAATGGGGTCCTGGGGCTCAAATGAGGCTATGTCCAGGGGGCAAGTGGCTCCAGGCCTCGCCTGGGGCTGGGAGTCTGCCTTATGGGGCATGAATGCCTTTGGGGGGGATCTGGGTGGGAGCCTGCTGGAGAACGCAGCAGCCGGGCTTCTCCGCCTTGTTCTGGGCTTAGCGTGCATGTTTACAGGCCCTAATCGCTTTGTTCCAGCTTCTTCTCTGTCCGGCGTCTTCCCCCACAATGTCAGTATGAGAGCATGGAGCTGATGTGGAGACCACAGGAAACTGGCTTAGCACGTTGGTATGAAGGGTCAAAAGCCATGGGCTGGATATAAGCCCATGTCTGAGATAGGAGCAGGGGGTTCTTGCAGACTGGCCTGTATCTGCTAGCCAGGGGACTGGGCGGGATGGGGGAAGGCCTAGGAGAGGAGCCTGGGGGGGCTGTGATGCTGCAAAGCTTGCAGCAGCCTGGCAGCTAAATCCTATGTCTGGCAGCTGCCAACTTTATCTACTCCGGGAGTTTTTGGGGTGGGATGTGGTATGGGGGGTGGGGAATGGATTTCTTTTCTTTTTCCATTTTTTTAACCTACCTGTTGGCAAGCTAACTACTAGGAGCAGAGAAGGAGCCTGGCTTTTCTAGCCCTTTCCTAAACTGTAGGCTCGGCAGTGTTTGGGGAGGGGGCAGGGGGATCCTTTTAGCAGCCCACATCTCTAATTCTGCATGGCTGTGACCCTGCAGCCTTCTGTTCAGTCTCAGTTTCAGGCCTTTGAAGCATTGTTATGCTGGGGTCTGATTGCATTCCTTTCTGCTGAGTCTGTGTAACCCAACGCCAGCAGGGCTTTTTGAGGAGGGGGTGTTCGGAGAGCCCTCTACCCGCTCCTCCTGTGGTTTGCTCGGTCTCTGTGAACCTCTCAACAGGCAGGGCTGGCTTCACTTTAAATGAGACCCTCTGCAGCCTAGAGGGGGATGCATCTTGTGGCTCCTGGACGTCCCCAAGGGACTGAGCGTGCAGCATGGAGACGAGGAGCATTCGGGCACTAGGGGAGGGATGGGTTGTGGGCAGCCAGGCTCAAGCGAGTAGCACCACACAGCAAAAACGAAACGCCGTGGTGCCAGCTTCTCACTTCCATCCCCGGGCCCCTCACCCCAAGGTTGGAGACTAATCTCCTAGGCCTGAACGGTTCCTGTGCGAATGCCGGGATGCAATCCAGCTCCCCCAGCAGCTGCAGCGCAGGGCCTGGGAACCTGGGTCTTGTTCAGTGCGATTTCACGGCAGCTGGCTAGCTATCTGCCAGCTGTTTCTACACTCCAGCTATTGCTGCAGACTCCATCCATAGCGCCCTCCCTCCTTGGCTGGTCTTGGGTAGCAGGTAAGGAAGACCACTAGGGGCCAAAGGCTCTATGGATGGTCGGACGGAGACCACATGTCAGTCCTCAGCGCTAGATATAGTGTAGAAGGAGCTGGACTGGAGTGGCCTCTTGCTTTGACTGAGATACCGACTACCTGGAGTAAAGGGAAGAGATGATCTACAGCACGGGTGG